AAATGTGTATTTCAGATAACATTTAACCAGATGAAATAGACAAATACAGAACTACAGGTAAATGAGCTTGCTGCCTCTTTCTCAGCCTTTGTGTCCTGGGGGCAGGGAGTGCATGGAGCTTCCCCTCCCCAAAGAATGGTGTTAAAATAGTCTCCTTTTTGGTCCTCGTTGGAGATAAAACTGAACGAGGGGGAGGTAGGGGACGTGGTCGGCTCCCCTGCTGGCACGGGGCTTGGCTTGCTTTCCCTTCTTGGTGATTAATATGATAATGATTCATCTTAACAGTTGGCTTTCTAGACTTAGTGGAATGGTGGCTCAAAGATGAGTAGATGTCTTTCTCTTTGAAAGTTCCTTTTTGTGTCTGTCATTTTTGTCCACGTGGGTGAGTAGGTAGTACACGCCTGTGAAGTGTTCTCTTCTTGTTTGCCAGACTGCTAAGGCGAGTGGTTAGTGCTCTGCCCAGATTCCGGGCTGTGCTGCCTGGTCGGGCTGTGGCCTCGAGCTGATTCTTAGTCTTCTGCCTCAGAGTCCTCGTCTGGGTCGGGGCTGGTTGGCAGCACTTGCCTTCAAGGGTTGCCAGGATGGAATCTGTGTAGCGCTCAGCCCAGCACCCCTCAGGGAGCCCCACGTGGACAGGTGTCCTCACACTTGCCTGGTAGACAGAGGACGCCAGACGGTGTCTGCAGGAGGCCCTGACCAGTGACCAGAGGTCTCGTACCCAGGAGACAGGAAAGACCCAGGATCTTACCAATGTCCTTTGACTCCATAGCCTTGAGAAATGAATCTCATGGGTAATTTGGTGTAATTTGGTGAAGTCACTTTTAAATATCGTCCCCTCAGCTGTAGATAAAAGTTGAAGGAGGTGATTGTGAATAAATTGTTTTAGGTATTTTTTAGAAAGAAACCTTTGTAATTTTTAACAACACTCAAGGCTATTTCCAGTGCATCTCCAGTTGGGCAGAAGCTTCTGGGAAAGGTGTCCACACGGTCAAGCCTGTGAGAGCTGCTGGTGTATTTTAAAGCCCTGAAGTCCCTCCCGCAGCCTTGCGGGCAGTAGAGGATGACTGACGGGCCTAACGTCTCACACCCGAGTCTGCTGGAGGGGAGACGGCCATTCCTGGCGTCTGTGTGAAGCTGTCTGCTGCCGCGTTAGTCCAGCGGGAGACGTACTGTGTTTAGGTATTTATTGGACCTCGGGGTGAATGTTGCTTTGCTTTTGGAATTTTTAGAATTGTATGGTTATTTGTGGTTCAATGATAAAAACACAAGTACTTATATTTTAAGTATGTTTTAAGTGTATTTTCAAGGTTCTGGGTAAAGAGATTCAAGGGCTGTTTCAGGTGTAAGTTGTATTTTTTAGGAGGTAAAGGACCAAAGTATACCTTGTGAATTCAGTCTCTGTATGAATTGGGTTCATAGTCCTTAGAGCCTTCACTGGGCAGTGAGCAGGTCCGAATCCGTCAGCTCAGAGCGCTTGCTCTCTCCCCTGGGGAAGGGAAGCGCTGTGGTGTTAGAGGGATTGCAGACTTAACCGCGTGGGTTATTTTACCAGATCCCTTTTCAGGAGGCAGTGCCCTCGCGTCCCTTCACTCTCAGAGGCTTTATCTTAGAAGGAGGGCGCACTCAAGATGCTGTCCTCCGTGCTCCCTTCAGACTGGAGAACAGATAAATTTCCTAGAGTGAAAATACATTTGGTAGTGCTTGAAGACTGTAAAGAAAATAACACATATTTTACTGTTGTTGCCAAATTTGCCTTTGGTCACGGAAACCTTTTGAAAAGGATGTGAGTGAAATAGTCAAGACATAGATGATACAGATTGTCTCCTCAAAGTTTGAGGATCGAAATGATTCATTCAGTAAATAATGATTGGCCTACTCGATGCTGCCCTTTCTTGGTATCCAGTGGTGGATGTGACAGAAAGGTCCCTGTGGTCAGGAAGCGTCTGTCTCGCAGGCAAGCTGGACGTGTCAGCAGGCACTTAGGGCGCTTTGATTGTCGTTTGAAGTGGGGAAGACCAGGTGCTGTGGGAGTACGGGAGGGAGCCCCCCACCAGGTGGTGTCATAGGACGGGAGGGGCTCCCGGGCTGGCATCTGGAGGTGGCTGTGTTAGACGGCAAGAGTGGGGAGCGGGGGAGGGCCGGGGGCCGGCAGAAGAGCGAGTTCAGAAGTGGGGCTGGGCCAGGTGCGAGGGCCTCGAGGCCCAGTGAGCCCCAGTGAGCCAGTGTGACTTCAGTGCAGCGGCGGGGGGGGGGGGGGGGGCGGGCTTTAGTCAGTGGGGGAAGGGACACCTTCGGGTTTGCCTTTGGGAAGATGAGTTTGACTGGGCTGGGGGGG